GGAAGGAAGGAAGGAAGGAAGGAAGGAAGGAAGGAAGGAAGGAAGGAGGGAAGGAAGACATACACATAACATTCCCAAATGTCAGATTCAACTGTATGTTTTTTCAGGCATTTGAAAAGTTGCTATAAAATAATCTCTGTAAAACTTTTATCTACAATGATGTACATATGTGAACATTGCCAGGAAGAACATTCATGTGCAGAGCAAAGTTTTTTCACTTATACAAGGGAACTAGATTCCAATTGCTATAAAATAAAAGTAATTTAATGAAATCAATTGCAACTATTAAATTCATTTCATTTCAGACCCACAGTCCTTTTAAAAAATAGGTGTATATCATATCACCTGCCATATCACATATCATATCTAAACAATCAACCATGCAAATCTGGTATCTTTAAGGAAGTAAATCAACAGAGATGCACATAAACTTGGAGGATTGTGGGTATCATATGGAGGAGCATGAGGACAAGCTTCTCCTGCATTCTGTCTCTGTCTTACAATTTAGCTAGATGTCTACTTTCATCTGTCCAGCTACAGAGATCTGGATGGGAAGGGAAGGAAGCTAGAGCATCACCAGAATGTGTCACATTCTAGTCTCCTCTCTTTTCTCATCATAGTTGCAAATGTCTTGTTTAAGTACTCCTTTAGGTAACAGCTTACACAAATTGTGTGGCTTTCTGAATGTAATGAATGGTGTAGAATTAATTACCTCTGTTAACCAAGTACAATAGGTTAAAATAGGGTAACTATTTTTCATTATTTGATAGTAATTAGGAGCAGGAAGGTGGCGGTCCATTACAAACAGAATGCAATTTTAGCATTCACTTTATAAAGGAGGGAATCCCTGGATATTACCATTCCTGGACTGATAAGGTAGTAAATAAAGTGATTAAGATATCTGCATTGTTGGAGATCATTATATCTTGTTCAAAAGTTTTCTTCAGTCTTGTGAATGTGATTTATCCCAAGACATTAAGGATGATTAATTTGGGGTTTTAAATCATGGTGTTACTACTGAATTTAATTGTTTGGTGGACAGTCTTAATAAATTTCTCCACGCTATCCTTTCCAAAATGCCTGATTATGCTGGGCTTGTAGTGGAAGTTCTGCCAATAACTTCTTCATGTTGCCCCATAAATAGGTTGGCATATGATGGGTCTATGCATATTCCTATTGCTGTACAGTGATTACCATTAAATATGAAACTGTCATTACTACCTTAGCCAGGGAGGTTAAGACTTCAGAACTTGGTTTATTAGAGGTATTGCTATTGAAGATGTATGTGAAGGCTGAGAAACTACCTTTATGGGGTACAATAGTCAAAAAGAAGTAACACTGAAGGTTACAATGATGGCTGAATGGTTAAATTAACAATTTTATAAATTATAAAATAAAATTATATATTATAAAATTATATAATTAAAATTATGTAAAATAAAAATCTGAGCCATCTGAATTCATATGACTCAGTGTCCTGTTGATCTCACAGTAAGGTAACTGGGAATCTTATCTTTTCATCAAGAGAAAAGCAGGTATCTTAATCCACCTTAATCCAGTCTTAGATACATCATAGTAGAGAGGAGAAAAAAGCTTGTAAAAAGGCATAAAGTATTAGAATCCTGACTACATTTGGTAAATCATATTGATCAGATCTTAAAGCAAGATCTTTGGTAATAATTTGTTGAGCAGGAGATATCATAAAATCAATAATGGACTATGAGTATAATTCAATAATGTTATCCAATGGCAGGAGAGTTTAACTCTTGCCTAACTACTCACTATATGCATTAATCTTTATAAGCCAGGTTTTATTTTCTGTGCATGCAATGTTAACTTTAGTCAAGAAGCAGTGAATAGATTTTTGGGACTGAGAATTACAAAATCTCTGTAGAATAATGTGTCTGATCCATTTTAATTCTATCACAGAACTATTATATTTAATTGCTTACCTCATCCATAATTTTGGCATTCTTTGTAGCCAAGACCATGGGCATAGAATCCATTAAAATAGAAAACTTTAGCTTGTCTGGATGCTGCCTGTAGTTCTTCTCACTGACAATCTCCATAGCTTTCTTATTTTTCTCAGCCTCTAGAGATCCTAATGGCATCCATCCAACCCCCTTCATGAATTCATCGTAGTCTGCTTTGTACTGGTTCTGGAAAGAAAATGAAATAAAACAGATGAGAAATTTTCCTGCATCATCTCAGCAGGAAAAAATATAAAAATAATCTAATTGTGTGATGGTTTATTTATGCTAATCAAATTGACTTTTTAGGTGACAATTGCATATTTACCCCTTTATGTAAAAGCTTCACAGAGAAAGGCATTTTGTCATGTTGCACACACACAGACACACACACACCAAATCTCAGATTGGAACATTATGCTCAGATTTGACTATTTGGACATTTCTGCTTGTTAAATATACAGGATGAATTTACATGCCATACAGGGCTGTATTCAATTTCATTAAGTTCCATTCATTTCATTGGGTCTAATCCAAGTAGGACTAATGCTGGAGACAACCCACAGTGCATTTAAGGTACTGCACATAGAGAGATTTGTTGGATGGCACATCTGAGGCAATGACACCAAATATTAATTTAAGAAGGTATATATTTTGAGGGTTGCTCCACCAAGATGCTTAGAAGTTCAATTCATACTTCTGCAAGATCAATAGTTAAATTTGTCAATTCAGGGAGGAAGGGTGTTGTTAAGGGTGTTTTACTTACATCACTCTGAATCTGCATCATGTTTTTGGCCAATTCAAGGTTCATAGCATCAGGCAAAACATTGTAACTGTGGATAATATTCCTGTAATTAACATCAGTTGCCACTTCCTGTGCTTTCTTGGCTGCCACAACACTGAACATGTCAACTGGTGTGTGGAACCGGGTCTTTGAACTCTCATAGTCCTTCTTGTATTCACGTTCTGATTGCATCTTAGCAACCTGCATGAAGTGCACCAGCTTAGGGTCATCTTCCAGACTACGGAAACCAATATGCTTTCCCTTTGCTTGCTCAAAGGCCAGTTTGTATTTGTACTATAAGCAGAAGGGAGAAAGAAAGAACATATAAAATGACAATGAGTAAAGAACACTACAATGCTAAAAGTGACTAAAAACAAACAAACAAACAAACCCAAACCTTCTAAGTGAAAATGCTAGGAATAATTCTGTACAAGGGGCTCAGAGCAATGAGGTGATGAACTCAGAAATTATTATTTATTCCCTTGCCCAGCATATACAGTTTGAACATGAAGAGAAACATCAGCTCTAAGAACAGAGAGCAATAGTCTAACAGAAAGTTTAGTGCCCTTAAACCCTCTAAAATCAGTGTCCTCAAGAGCACTTAATTTGTATATTGGATTGTACTCAAAATATTGGGTTGCAGAGATCTGGCAGATCCATGCTTTCTGCCTCCCCATACACTGGCTCGCCCATCCCTTCCTCTTTTTCCCTCTTTGGAAGGTTGGAGTTCTGACTTGATAAAAGGAACTGCTGTTGAGCATTGTATAATGACTAGGAGGCGCTTTTATGTATCTATTTATCAAATTTCTTCCCCACCCATTGGTCAACTTGAAGGGTTAAGGGGGAAATCACCACTTGGATGTCCCTCTTCAAGATTACTGCACTGTCTACAACCTCTGAGGAGCAAATCACCAGCATCCTATGGATACCATCATGGGGCCACAGAACTGTACTTTTAGTTAATTGCCTCTAGTGTTATTTAGTAGAAGCTATCGTAAGCCAAAGGCAGTCAAGAGATGGCCGTATTTATAGGTTAAAGTATAATGCACAAAGAAGAATTATAACCTTACAGCACCATGCTTGGCATCTACAAACTTATGGAGTCCAGAAGAAGCATATAAAAGAAACAGTATAATAAGAACCATTTCTCAGATTTGCCAAACTAAATCTGTGACTCAGAGAACATAAACATTCCAACACTGGCGAGCAGGATAATTGCAAATAAACAGTTTAGGGATAAATCAGTCTTTTTCGTTAAGGGAATGTCAAAATTAAACCTACATCACTTGCAATGTCCCTGGAAGCTTTGGCTGCTTTTATTGAGATGGCATCTGGCCTCAGATCATAACCCTTCTTCTTCTCTTCTTCCCAGCCAGACTTGTATAGTTTCTGTTCCAAAATAAAACAGGAGATTGTTTAAAAAAAAAAAAAAAGCAAAAAAGTACCCTTCTGCTACAACTGGTGTTTTCACTTTCAAAATTTAGCCTAAAAGTGACAGAAATATTAAGGGAAGTCTTAAAACAGGTAAGTAATGTTCTGCCCCAGTTAAGACCTTACATCGCTCATGGTGATTTGATTGGCTTTAGACAAGAGTATGTCTGGTGTGTCAGGCATCACATGAACGTCAGTCTTCTCTTTGTTCCATTTTTCAACATACAGTCTCTGCAATTTAAGCATAAAAATTGTTTGGCTTTAATAATATCATTTTTACTTGGTTTAATACTGTAAAATATTTGGTTTGTTCACACACACACACACACCTCCCTCCTCCAAGTAAAGGACATCACCATCCACAAGGATCTTAAAAAAGAACTAATGCCACCAACTTTACATGAAACCACTTCAGTGCAAGGTTCATTTGCCTTTTTCATTTAAAACCTTAATAAAGATATGCTAAACTGCTTGATTTTATAATGGGACTTCATGTAAGGGAACAAGAAAGCTAGCAAAGTCAGAAAGGGGTTGGAGTATTTATTTATTTATTAGATTTGTTTAAAGGCTGCCCATTAGTATCATGCTCTCTGGGCAGCCATTACAATAAGGACTAGAAGTCTCATGCATTTCTAATCCTTGTGGTATAGACTTGAAAGACTTTACCCTGCATTGAAAGCTTTGATCTACACTGGTGCCCTCTTTCCCACAGTGCTCCATCAGATGCATCCAGAAAGCCAACAATAAGGAACTAAAGACAATTGAGCTCTCCTGTGCATATAATGTTTCATCTTGTTTGACCTTTAGCTATAATAGTTAATAGCTATTGTAGACCTATCCTGGTCGATTTCTTTTTAAGCAGTGGTCATTAATGTATTCCATAAATATATCTTCTATGAGAAATTACTTCCTGTACCTGTGATCAATCCATCGCTTATCAATTTAATTGACTGTTTGTTTTAACTGGGTGTTCCTTAACACCTCATCATTTCTACATGGACCACTTGTGTAAGCAATCCTTCCTGTAGGTTCTATCTTCTAGTGATCTCTGACAGTTTAGCACACTTTTCCCAGACAGTCTGAAACATAAATCTTGCATCTCATGAATGAACAATGACCTAAGATGCAGTTACCTTATTCATGGTATGAGCGTTTTGCTTGGCAAGCACCTGCTCCATGGCATCCATGTCAATGGTGTATTTCAACGTATCCGGGTGCTGACGATATTTCTTTTCACTAAGAATGTCAGTGGCCTTCTTTGCCTTCTCCACTTCCAGAGACTGAATTGGCACCCAGCCTATTCCTTTCAGCCAGTTATTAAAATCTGTTTTGTAAAGATTCTTGAAAAATAAAGGGAAAATTATGTGAATAGGAATCTGGTTAGCTTTACACTTCACAAGATCCCAAAGCAATACATGCTTCCACCATTATAACATGAGCTAAAGCTGGGGTAGTAGCTCCATACACAATCCCACAGAACTTCTGCCCTCTGACGTGGAAGACCATGTCCTGCTTGAACAAAACTGTCATCCCCAAGTAAGTGGAAGCTTTTCCCTCAGGATATTCCACCCACACTGACTTTTTCTGAAGGGCTGTTCTGAATGTCACTAGCTGGAACTTTCTGAGCAAAACTGCTTGGGAAAACCTGGATCCAAGCCAGTGACTTCATGGTGACTATGAAGTCATAGTAAAATAAAAAATGCCAGTCTTATCATTCCACCAATAAGTTTGGAAATGTGATTGCATATCTCCTGTTGTATCCTTTATAGAAATGTATTGATTCCACAGATTAATTGTGAGCTGCATGAGAAATATATTGCTAAAAGTGCAGTGATGTCAGAAAATAATCTGCACACTAAGCATAATGTCAGATTAATCAGCATGATTGATAAAAACCTGATAAAACCTCCAAAGACAGGCACAGAAGCCTAGCAGACACCCTGCCTTATTTTTCTCAAGCTTTTAATCTGCAATCTTTAGAACAATACTGCTATGAATGTTCAGATGACATACATCACTTTGAATCTGCATCCTGTTTCTTGACAATTCCACGCTCATGGCATCAGGCAAAAGGGTGTAGTTATGAAGATACTGTCTGTAATTCATTTCAGTAGCCACATCCTGGGCTTTCTTAGCAGCCACCACACTGAACATGTCCAGAGGTGAGTGATATTTTGTTTTGCTGCTTTCATAGTCCTTCCTGTATTCACGCTCTGACTGTAGTTTGGCCACATTCATATAATGGACCAATTTAGGATCATCTTGCAGGCTTCGGAAGCCAACTTGCTTTCCTTTGTCTTTCTCATATGATTCTTTGTACTTGTACTAGAGGTAATCAAATCAAAAAGAGCAAATTTAAACAAATTTAAAATGGGACATGCACAGAATCAATTTACAGCACACTGATAAAATAACTGATATTTGTTCTTAGTGGTTTCTCCAACCACTGTTACTTTCAGTCTTGTACGCTCTTTCCAATGTAATGTCCAATTATTTAAATCCATTGCTTTAAATCCAATATATTGTTTCCCTTTTGTTACCCTCAGGCCCCACTTTACACTTCTTCAAAGCCTTACTCCCAACTTGAACTGGTGCTTTACTTTTGCTTTTGCTTTGCATGCTTTGGCAGATGAACATAAGAACATAGGTGGCTCATCTAGATCATTTCCTCCAGCATGGTGTTCACAATGGCCAACCAGATCCTCATAGAAATCATCAAGCAGGACATGAATGTCATAGTACCTTCCTGTCTACGTTCACAGCATCTGGTGTACAGAAGCATACTTCCTCTGATACCAGTAGCACCGTATCTCCATCTCAACTAGTAGCTGTATGCTCCATCATTTTGTCCAATACCCATTTTAAGGAATCCAAATGGATGGCCATTGCTACATCTTGTGGAACTAAATTCCACAGTTTAACAATGTATCAAGTGAAGAAAAGATTCACTTTGTCCCCATTTTTCTATACCTCCTACTCTCAGTCATCATCTCAGATTGAGAAAAGATAATAAAGCTCCTGACTGCTTCTATTTTGAAGTGGAAGTGAATGGAAAGTGCAGACAGCTTCTTACCTACCCCTGCAAAAGGGCCAGCAGAGAGAATAAAACAGGAGCCATAGTACATGGGAAATAGCCACATTATATCCATTATCAGACTAACTTAAGCCCTCATTCAGTACAATCAAAGATTGAGAAGTTATCCTTAATCGTATCCAATGTTAGTTTAGCTTAAGCCTTATTCATTTCAATGGGACTATTCTAAGTAGGGTTAACACTAGAGCATGAATGGTGCCCAAGTCCTTCTTGGCATTTTTCTAAACAGGGTTTAACCTGCTGTTATCCTTATCCTTTATGGGACAATGTGATACATTAGAATACAGGAAGGAGACATAGATGGCAGAACATCTGCATGGCACACCAAGGTTATTTCATTCCTCCACTGATTAAAGGATCGCAGAAAGCAGGGTTGAATGGAATGTACATTGCCATTGAAGACAGCCAGTAGTAAGCTGGACAGGCTAGGCAGGTCTGATCCAAGGCAGATTAAGCAGCTTTATCAAAATTCTACTTACATCACTGGCAATGTTTCGTGAAGCTTTTGCAGCAATTATAGGAATGGCATCTGACTTCATATCATATCCTTTGGCAATCAGTTTCTTCAAGTCAGCTTTATAAGCATGCTTGGAGAGAAATAAATATTAATTTATTAGCATCACAGTATTTGAGATCTGGAAAGAATCTTGAAAGTCATCTAGTCTAACCCTCTGTTCAGTGCAAGATCTACAATGAGGACATAACTACTACAGCTTCCCTGAAAGAAGTCTGTCCTGTCTTGAGAGAAGGTGGGCCCACCACTTCCCAAACAGAACTGTCAGCATTCTTATGGTTCATATTCTAACAACAGAATGAAAGGGCGCTATTGTTCTGTTACATTGAGAACTTCATTATAAAAAGACCACCCGAGTCTCTGACATTGCAGACAATGTGCAAGATTTTTCTTAACAGAAATATCGGAGAATCAGAATATGACACTTTGGCAGCTTTGTTCCAAACCAGAATTCATAACCATTACAGCTAACAAGGGCACTATGGTTTTAGCTAACTAAAAGTTTTTAAAAATACACGTAGAGAAAAAATGTTAAGTGTAAATCTAATAAAACAGAAAACATCAAATTCAAGTTCACTAAAAAGAGCTTGATATCAGCTTATGAAGATGGAAACTATCAAATACTCACATCACTTAGGTTGTAGGCATTGACTCTTGCTTGTATAAATTGAGGAACATCTGGATCCAAGTGGTACTTGTGTTTAACTTTCTCACCTTCCACCTTATAGTTTATCTAAAAAGAAAACATTTATTTATTATCCTTCAGCAGGTATACGGCTTGCCCTGATCACAAAGTGGCTGGCACCTGGCTATCTAGCTCAAAATAAATAAAATTAGTTCCCCCAGCAGGTTAAGGACCAGCTAGGTGCAGGTTGATACTGAACTGTTCCTGGGCTCTATCGATTGGACAATATGTACCAGCAACTATAAAAGTTGTTTGTTGTAAAAGTTAGAGTCAGTGCAGCATAGGGCCACAAGGTTGGTGGCTGGATTGCAGGGGATGCCTTATGAGGCGAGACTGAGGGAACTGGGTCTCTTCAGCCTGGAGAAGAGGAGACTCAGAGGGGATCTGTTGGCGACATACAGGTATGTGAGGGGGTGTCACATGGAGATGGGTAGAGACCTGTTCTCCCCTGTAGAGGAAGGCAGGCCCTGCTGCAACAGAGCAAAGCTCAGGGAACCAAGGTTCCATTTAGATGTCAGGAAGCACTTCCTGACAGTTAGGACCCCGAGGGTGTGAAATGGGCTTCCACGAGAGGTCGTTGAGGGCCCATCGGTGAGGGTGTTCAAAGATAGGCTGGACATACACATGGTGGGCATGTTGTGAGCAGAGCCAGCTGGAGCTGGGGGTCAGACTAGATGGCCCAGGAGCCCCCTTCTGACTCCGCTCTGTTTCTATGTTTGTACGCTTGGCAGCAGAGGAGAGAAACTCCAGGCAAAGGGTTTGCAGCTTGGGACAAGCAATTCTGAATGGGCAGTATGAAATAACCTCTGTAGGAATTCCTAATGTACTTAAAGTACACTGAACTGGAAACTGGAACCAAGTTAATAATTTCAGGTAGATATCTGAGAACTCTACAACACTGCCTGTTTATGTTTGCAACTTAAAATATGGCAGACCTGCATTTGCATTAACTTACATCACTTAGCTGTTTGGTGTTTTTCTGCGCCAAAGTCATTGGCATTGAATCGATCAAACTCGTGAACTTGAGTGTGTCTGGGTGTTGCCGATATTTCTTTTCATTCAATGCTTCCCCTGCCTTTCTAACTGTTTCTACATCCAGTGAACCTAGAGGACTCCATCCAATTCCTTTGAACCAGCTATTATAGTCTTGTTTGTAAACATTCTGTGGGTAAAGCAAAGGAGAACTCAAAAGAAAGCAGGCATTCAGGGAAAAACATTTCAAAGGAACAAGAAGTCGATGTGGCAGTGCCTTCCCCACACCCCACATGATGATCACACATCCCTGATTGAATATATTTGAACCTGGCAAGAAGAATAAAATGTTTTACATGTTTCTTTCAAACGTTTCACATACTATCTGGAGGTGCAGGCGGGAGGAAAGCAGCTTCATATTTAGGTTGTTTGCCATATTTGCTACAATAGTTTCATTACCATCTTCCAAGATGGTCTCTGTGTCTTTGTTTCTGCCTCTCCCACCCAATTTCCAATGATTCACGTGATCACAAAGCATTCATTGTATGTTCTATACTGGGGAAAACTGAATGTGTGTTCTATTTGGCAAACCAAAGTGTAGGCTTTAAGTACCATGGTCAATATTCTACCAGTTTGTGCATTTCTAACACAATAACTCTGCTGAACATTGAAATCCTGAAATGAAATTCAAACAGTACTCTACACGTCAAATCCAAATTCCAGTTTTTTGAAAAGACGGGGAAGAAGAAGAAAACTGGATTGCAATGTGAGCTCTCCCTTGAGACACGAAACCACATTCAACACATTTTACTTTCATGTATGAATTGTGCTTGACCTTAGGCCCATTTCAAGAGAACCAGAGAATGTTGCAATATGCAATGCAATCTCCTTTACATTTGTATGAAAGGTGATGTGCATGTTCAGAAGACAACTCCATATTTCAAGCATGAATTCTGACTCATGCATCCTAACAACTTTTACAGGCAGAATGGTGAAGAGGATGAAAAATAGAGTGGGTATGTGGTATCTGAGGCTTCCTAACCAGATGCACTAGTTTCTTCTGTTTTCAGACCATTTAGATAAATGTGAAAAACAGTAACATAAAGGTTGCTAACACTCTGAATGACGCACAAAACGCAAAGGCTCCAGGCCAGGTCTTGTTGTATATGAAGAGCGATTTTAGATGGGAATGCCAGTCTAACACATCTCCTAAGTCAAGTGAAGAACTGAGTGAGCATCATCATCAGTTCAGACAGATCTCCCTTACCAGATCAGGGCAATTGTTACAGCAAGAAGGGAAATTATGCAGATGAGAAAGAGGAGCCAAGCCACTAGATGCTCAATTTGACTCTGCATTTAGAAAACTCTGCTAAATGAAGGTGTTATTTTTGCCTTTGCAAAGTATTTTTGAAAAGAGATGTCAACCTGTAGATATTAGCATTTATCTTTCCCATGTCAACTGCATCATATAGTGTTTGAGATCAGTGTCATTTCAAAAGCAGTAATACTTACATCACTCTGGATTTGCATCATGTTCCTTGCCAGCTCAACATTCATGGCATCTGGCAGGTATGTGTAATGATGGAGCAGGTGTTTGTAGTTGGCATTAGAGGCAACATCCTGAGCCTGCTTGGCAGCTTGGATACTGACCATCTCCACAGGTGTGTGATAACAAGTCTTGCTCTTTTCATAGTCCTTCCTGTACTCACGTTCTGACTGCATCTTTGCCACATTCATAGAATGGACAAGCTTAGGATCATCCTGTAGGCTTCTGAAACCAACGTGTTTTCCTCTTGCCTTCTCATAAGCTTCTTTATATTTGTACTAGAGTTAGAGTAAAAGAGACAGAGCTGTCCATGGATTGCAAAATTTTGTATTGTTGGTAAGAAAAGAAATGTCTCCAAGAAATGGCATCAAGAACTTTGTAGGAACCTTCAAATATAGAATCCCTGTGGCTGAGGTGAAGAACATGCACTCCTTCAAAAGATAGTGGGCTACAATTCCCTTCATCCCTAACAATTGCCCATGCTGCCTACGCATGGTGGTTACTGAAGATTTACAACACCTGGAGAAGCACAGGTTCTCCCAAGTATGTGCAGCTGACCGAACAGTCTAGGACAGGTAGAATATTTAGTAAAACTATTATCCTGTTATTTGTATGGATTTATATATTTATTTACAGATTTATTCCAAATCTCTTTCAGCCTTTACAATCTCATCAGACAAAGTGGGGACAGGTATCAGACACACTTCCTATTTTGTAGGTAAGGGGATATCCCCACTCCAATAGGAAAAGATAATCAACTTAGAGTGGAGGCAGCAGCAGTGCAGGATGTCTCCTGAAATCATAAGGAACCATAAAGGCAAGGCAGGTGAACAAGTAGGGGATTTCTAACTGGGGTTGCAATAATCCATTGTGGAGAGGGGCTGTGTAGCAAAGGACACTGTATGTGAATAGTGTGCATATGGTGGCAAAATCCCCAAGACCAACTTCAGTAATGCAAGATGGAGGATATACGGGTACTTACATCACTAGCAATATTTCTTGATGCCTTGGCAAGTTTAATTGGAATCGCATCACCCAGAACGTTATGCCCTTTGGATATTAGGTCATGATAGTCATGTTTATAATAGGCCTGCCGGAAAAGAGAAGATTTTAAATATTCAGCAAGGTATTTAAGTAATTACCACTGCAAACCTAGCAGAGAATATAACTTCCAATTATCCTTTATTAGGGTACAGCCAGTACAGTGTGTACAGTTCCTGGATAGAAGGTTTATAGACTGCAGTCCTATCCTGGCTTACTAGGGAAAAAGTCCCACTGAAACCACTGAGTTCTTTCATTCTAAGTAAATATGGCAGCTAGTATGAAAAAGGGGGTGGAAAAGCATCTGCCTATTCTCTGCCAGCCTGCTGTATTTTTGCCTTCTTCCACAGGCAGACCAGAAACTAATCTGCTTGGTGGAAGAGTGCCAGAGAGAGCCATCCAGCATGCTGTTTCCTGCTGGACATGGAGAAGGGGGAGTCTCCTCCTCTCTGGTCAGCACCGGAGTGCCATGGCTTGGGAGAGGAGCCAGGAAATGATTGTCACTCACCCCACAGAACTCCTCGTCACTTGTGTTGACTAAGTGAGTTAGCACACACAAGCCTAACCTGAATTACAATAAGAACAAGTGAACTAATCCAGGCCACTTTTATTGAATGGAGGGGCAGACAAGCAAGATATAAAGTGAGAAAACCGTCCCTCCCTTTTAGGGGGACTTCACTCTGGCATACACCTACAAGTGGACCTAGACAGAAATGGAATTCCAGGCCAAGCTGCTTGAATTTGATGATGTGAAGAATCATGTCTGTGTTCTCCATGATCTCCAATAGCCAAGCAATCTTCCTAACAAGTCTGAGGGACCCCAGCCTTGTGGAGCTGCTTCATGGAAACCTTGTCCTTCCCTGAAAATGTGCCTCTCTTCTCTCTTCCTCAGCATGAACTTCCCTTTTCTAAACTTGGAATTACGTTAACGTAGCTCACATATCCCCTCTCCCATTGCAGTCCATTCAGGCCTTCTGGCCTATGTTGCAGGAACATCAGGTGTTACTAGTCCCATTCTCATAATCCCTTCTTTGTATTTGCAGAATATGTATTCACTTCTAAAGCAAGCCAAGGGTAGTCAGGGTGGCTTGTTGCCTTCACATTTCTCTCATTGCACAATGTACTGGGAGTAGCTTCAATATGTAAGATTGAAGATCCCAAACCTAAATGTTTTTTCCATATGAAAATGTCTGTGCAATTTTCATAATGCTGGAATGTATTATTGAACATCTCCATCTGTATTTATTTACCAAGTAGCGAAATGACCAACACCCTTCCCATGGCCACTTACCTCACTGAGGTTAGCTGCATTGTATCTAGCCTGGATAAACTGAGGTGCATCGGCAGGCATGTGATATGTATGCTTCATTTCCTCTCCAGAAGATTTGTACAGCCGCTGTGAAGCAAAGAACAAGACAATCACAAAGATATGCATTGCCAAGTGGAATGTTACACAAAACATCATGTGCTAGCTAAAAGCCTTAGACTGCAATCCTATGCATGTTTACTCGGCAGTGAGCTCAACTGAGAACCATGGGGCTTTTTCCAAATAAGTTATCATAGGAGTAGGTTCTAAAGGTTGTTCTTAGCATCAGTTATTACATTTCTATGCTTAATGATGTCTTTCCTGTCTGAAATTGAGCCACAAATTTCACACTAGAGAGAAAGCATCTTTTCAAAGTAGAGTTTAGGAGGAGACACAAATATATCTTAAAAACAAATCACATATGATAGAAGATGGGTAAACAAAAGATAGAAGAAACTTTAACAGAATGAGGTACTTTACTGCTTAAAGTAAAGTAGATATAGTATTAGGTGGCCTGAAGTTACTGCCATATTAATTGAATGGGAAACTGGAAAAAGGAGAAGTGTATAGATACAGGATTTCATACTACCACAAATCACTTTGCCTATTGGTAGGGTTGGCCCTGGATGTCAACATGCTCATCATGGCCTTTTCACTTAAGTAGACTTGTGCTGTTTAATGTGAGAATGTTTCAAAGCAAGGTTGAAAAGATGGGAAAAATTTGATGAATCTCCCCAGTGCATCTGCATTCACATATGACAGACTGTCCCATTTTTTCATAGATAGTATGAAATGCTTTGTTCTGGCATTTTCCCCTCAGGCTTACTCACATCACTGAGCTGAAGCGCATTCTGCTTAGCCTGGACCATGACAGGTGAATCTACCACACTGGTAAATTTGATGGTGTCTGGGTGCTGGCGGTACTTTTTCTCATTCAAAGCTTCGCCTGCTTTTCTAGCTGTTTCTACATCCAGTGAGCCAATCGGGATCCACCCAATGCCTTTCATCCAGTTATTATAATCATCCCTGTAAAGATTCTACACAGGGAGTAGAAAAAAATAGTTACTTTAGCAAATATATATTCTTTAAAAGACACCAGTTTGGACACACTTGTATGGACACACTTACTTCACTTTGTATATTCATCATGTTTTTGGATAGTTCCACGCTCATAGCATCAGGCAAGTAAGTGTAATGGTGTATCAAGTTCTTGTAATTGGCATTGCTGGCAATTTCTTGTGCCTTTTTGGCAGCTACAACATTGACCATGTCGAATGGAGTGTTGTATTTGGTCTTGCTGTCCTCATAGGCTTTCTTGTACTCCCGCTCTGACTGCATCTTGGCAACATTCATATAATGGACCAACTTTGGATCATCCTGGAGGCTCCGGAAGCCAACCAGTTTACCCTTGGAACGTTCATAGTCTTTTTTGTACTGGTACTGTCAAAATTTTAAAAAAGCATGAGACAGTGAGCAACATGTAACATTTGGGTTTCATAAAAGGACACCTATTTTTTTAAAAAATGAATAGGATATCTACAGCGAAATAAGAGCTAATTTTCAGGACCATTTCTGGCATGATTACTATTATACATGCCAAATGCAAGCCACTGATACCTATTTGGACAGGTATGCTAAAACTTAGTGGATGAGTTCTTGGCATGCTGTTGGGCACTGCATGGCTATCTTTATTCCTAAAATCAGTGAGACTAGATCCAATAGGAAGCAACTGACATGCTCGAGTTGTCCATGATGATGATGATGAAAAAAAAACTTGGACTGCACTTAGATCCCACTTAAAACAATGAAAAAAGTTAGTCATTACTAAATTAGGTCCCATTGATTTCAATGTGATCTGAGTGCAACCAAAATGTAGCAAAGTTCTATGCCAATTTCTTAGAAGTAGTGGAGTAAGTGGAGCTTGCTCTGAGATCAATGTGCATAGGATTGCTCTGTTAGTCTGGAGAAAATCAATTCCTGTAAATCCTAAAGGAGGTTAGCTGTATTTACAGTAGACCCA